TTACATGATTCTGGAAATGAGTTTTTGCCTTTGGCTCAAGAAGACGATCTGGGTATCAATGCTCCAACTACTGTAAGAAATCGCAGACATTCTCCTACCATTGAAGAAAAAAAGGTCGAAATGGAACTTGCCTTCAAAGAAGCTAAGCTAAGAGCAAAGTATTCTGCTTGGTCCAAGGGGTATTTATTGTTTGTCGGCATAAAAATTTAGAATTAAGACCCTCGAAGATCGTAATACAAGAATTAATGAGGAAAATTATCAGAGCTCTAAGCCTCTTGCCCGCTATGCTACTGATGAAGACTTGACAAAGTATCTCAAGGATCGTATTCTTGCCGATGATCCCATGGCGGAGTTTTTCAAAAAAAAGAAGGAAAAACATGACAAAAAAAATCTCAAAGAGAAAAAAAGAAAAAGAGGTGGGCGCTTTTACATTTACGAGTTGTCGTAATTGATTTTCATTATATTTCACTGTCTTAAACCGCTTAGCTATGTTCTTTTTAACGGCGAGCCAGAAGCAAGCTCCTCCGACAATGATGTCAGGACTGATGCGCGACCCAGGTATGCTGGTCCTCCTGAACCGCCACCAAACAGGTTTAACCTTTGGCCAGGATTCCGATGGGATGGAGTAGATCGCAGCAATGGCTTTGAGAGCAAATATGTGGAAGAGATCGCTAGGAAAAAGCTCGAGAGGGAACTTGCAGACCAATGGGGAATGGAGGACATGTAGAGTACATTCTCAACTTATATGTTCTGAAATTTGAATATAAATAAATTGCTTTGTGTCAAGTTCATACATACATTCTTTCTAATGAATTAAATATTCTTATGTACTTTAAAGCGAAGTTACTATTAATATGATCCGTTCAGAGTTATGGCCACTAGCCTACAATACTTGAATTACTATTTTGCCTTAATATATTCGTTCAAGCACCATTTTCCTTAATTAGTTTATATAAAGGCCGTTTGATACTTCTAGAAAACTCTTGGTGTTTCACCGCTGAGTGAATTCAACTACTAGTCTTGTTTGTTACTTATGTGTTTACTCCTTAGAAGTCGAGGCTTTCATATTCGAACTTTTAGGGCTGCGGCTTCTTACATGAAGTTTGTTTGATAAAGGCCATTGTTTTTAAAGTGGGGAACTTCACTCGAAAGATAGTCATTAGTGTATTCTCATTCTTTTTCGAATCATGTGGACTGACTCTCTGTGCTCTAGGATCTTATTCTTTGTAGGCTGACTTCTAATGTACTTTACTACCTTTAAGCGCATTTGTTTGCGATAAACCTTTATCCTAGGGAAAATTTGCTAGATTGCCGGATTTTCTTTAGCCTATTTACTGCCCATATCTTATTTGGTAAGAACTTGTACTTTCTATGTGCGTTTATATTGACAGCTGCTTTAATAAAATTAGTCAGGAAATTTTATCTGCATCGTTGGACCGGAATAATTTGCGTACGAATCAGACTTTTATTTTGCTTGATCACCATCATAAATCCGATAGTTGTGGATTACCAGATTTGGAGTGTTTTTGGTAGCTTTACTTATTGGCTGTTGCTCCTACAGTTCATAGTAATATTTATCCCCATTCGTTTAATGCGTTTCTAAAAATAACGCATATCTGTGATATCGATGAAGCGGATTGTCATTTGAATGATATAGGTTGGATGAAATCGATTCTTGACAGAAAAGGGTAAGTTCAAATCAATGGTCCGATGCCGAAAATTGTGAAAGCGATTCTCTTTTGTTATTGTTTACTAGCCTCTTTTGAGATATAAAATAATCCGACAGTTATTTTTATTATCTTATATTCTTGACTCGAAGCTAGCACTCTATAGTCCTGGATCAGTATTGTTATTGTCTTTGGGCTCACACAGTATGGTGACTGTTGGGAAATAAAATTTAATTTTTATTTTTTACTATTATCAAATTAAATTGAAACTATTGGTTTGTTTTCTCATTGCATACATATTTGCCTTCGGGTATGCGTCTTAGAGACTCCTTTATCGAACCAGTGCAGGAATGACAGATGTTGAATGATCCCTCCTTACATTTAGCGTGCTTTTGAAATAAACAAATCTTAATTAATTAACTGATTACGGAGTACTACTCATTAGTTTTTGTGGCTCCACTGTTATTGATAATCCTTACATATCCTTAGACGGAATGCAGGTATGCCAAACCAGGAATCACGCTGGTTTCGCTTCGACAAGAGCTCGCCTAGGGTAACGGCTGAAACAAGAATACTATTTAAGAGATTATAAAGGCTTATATGAATAAGAAGAGCCGATATCTATAATTTTATCTCATTGGACACCACTTCGAAAGGATGCTTTGATGTAGGGTATACGTGGATTGTCCCCAGTGCAATTCAAAAGATTTTCTTGGCTTTTTGATTGCTGACGTTTACTAGAAAGAACCTTGTTCATATGTGGCAACCTGATGATTCCGCGCTGAGCGTTAAAACTGTCGAGTTGTAGGTATTGAAGGATCCAGAAATAAAAATATGTAATCATGCCAAGTATGTTGCCTATCTTCATCTCTAACTTCGTCTTTCAAGCTGATTTTGATATGTTAATAGAGCGATCGATGGTTCATGTGACCAGCACCATATTCCTAAATAGCTTTAAATATCAGCCGAAGAAACATTGCCCTCGACTTGTGACTACCGGTTTCTATGAAAAATCTTTTGGCTCACCACTTGCCCCCGACTAGCACGCACAGTCATCTGATACGGCTATATCCTAGAGCTTTTATTTGTCAAATAAATCCACAAAAACATCTGACAAATGAATGGTCAGCATAAATCCTATCAATACCTAATTTTTCGGCCCTATTGAGGCGTCATCTTATATTCTGGATGGCGGCTTGAATCTTTTCTTAGGCGCTTGAAAGTGATTGTTGTTGAATCATGTAAAGGATGCGATTTTGGCCAGCATTTGGTCCCGCAATTCTGATCTGTCTTAGTTTTTTTTAGATGAATATGCGATGTGTTTACGACTTTTGGATGATTACCTATCCTTCTATGTAGTTGAATTGTGATAATCCTAACCAGACTCAGGCTAATTAAGTCTCTTGTTGGAAAAATCAGATATAGTCCCGGTTATACTTATTACATCTTCTCCGATTGTGGTTTTAGTTTTTTTTACTTGCTTTTGACTCCCTTATCTTAAACCTTCATTGCAAAAGGCATTCAGTGCAATTAACTTGTATACTCTATTTAGCTTCTAAGGCATAATAAACCGCAAGCAATCCACATGCAATTTGAAACTAGTCATTATTAAAGTGGGTTGATCTCGTCGCAACTTGGTCTTGTGGTCAGGGCGACTTA